TAATTGTTAATTATTGTTTACTTTAGACTTTTAATTATTGATTATTTGACTTTTAATATTCTTTTAATGATAATTGCTAGTATTTGATTATATTTTTCGATTTCTAATTTATTTGGGGAAGAGGCCATGAGTGGTGCGGCTGCTATGTGGAAAAGGGAGGGTGTAGGGGGCAGGTGTAAAGGCTAAAGGCTGCTTCTTGACGGGCTGAGCCAGGTAGGGAGGTTGCAAGGGAGCGGCTATGTGGGGGAGGAAGCTTGGTCTCGTATGGGAATACCACCAGTTCAGGCCGGGGTAGCACGCTGAGGAAAGAGGGTTTGGTAGAGGCGCAAAGAGTGGAAGACACGCGCATTTGCGACATGGGATAAGGAGGTTGGCAAAGGAAGAGTGACTGATACAAAATTTTAAGGCGTTTTCGTTAATTTTAAGGCGTTTGATTATGTTGACTGACTTGTTCTTATGCTTATGCGAGGTATAGAGCGCATTACATTAAATAAAAATGTAATGGTTAAAACTTTAATTTGGACTTTTTATTTTGATAAAAAAAATTTAAGTTTTTTTCCCTTACATCAATTAAATCATAAGTGTACGTTAACTCAATCTAAAAATGACATTTTTTTTATGAAATGAAAATGACATCATGTAATCAATTTATATGGTAAAAAAACAACTGTTTATGATGTAAAAAAAATAATATGATAAATTAAAATAACTCTATTTTTAATTATTTTTTATCCAACCAATCATAACAAGATCGTGACCTTATTTTTAATTAAAATTTCACTCTATAATTTTTTATGCTTTTCCATGAATGAATTTCAAATCCAAGGTTATCTTTAATTTTTATGCAGGGTAACGTGTCTTTTGCAAAAGCCAAACCTTGAGAACGAGTACTGTAAAGGCGTATGTACTGGATAACTTAATGCATAGTCTTTTGTATTTTATACAAATTGGGAAGGGTAGATATCAAAGTTATCAAATTGAGATTTTACTTAAAATTATTTTAAATAAATAAACTAAAATCGTAA